TATATATATATATATATATATATATATTTTTTTTTTTTTAGTTACAAATGTACATTTTAAATATGATAAATACAAAAAATTACACGAGAAAACTTTAATGTGCATAAGTAGAGATGCGACTAAGAAAAATTAAGAAAAATTAGTAATCAATGTTGAATTAGCCTATTAATATTGACCTATTTGGCATTTAAATGTCAATATCTTGTTGTTTTCCGCAGGCCTTTGTCTTAATCTCTGCAGTCTACTGGAGTCTACAGTGTGTGAACCAGCGAATCAACAGGATGAAGAAACAAAACTAGATAAGACATCAACAGCAAACAACCTCATACTGACACATTACACACAAACTGTTTACGATTCAGTGTCCCGCATCAGTGACATCTTCCATACATTTAACTGTGAGATTTGTCCTTTTAACTTTACCAGAAAACTGCTGCTCTCACAAACACTTCACACTTTAGTTTGGCATTGAAGAGATGTTATAAAAATATCACGAGTTAAGATATTGTAAAGACAATATGATTCATAGTTCTCAGAATGGTACTAACCAGCTTAAAACTAACTTTTAACGTTTAACATGTGGTAGATTAAATACAAAAGGTACCTACTAACTGTAGCTTTATCTGCATGCATACTATTATTTGAAATGTGTCAAATAATACAAGTACAATAACTAGTGTATTATGAAGAATTTTGTAAAATTATACACCAATTTTGTCATACTGTACAGAAAATACCTGACCTCTTACTGATGTACCAACATGCTTTTAAGTGTACGTAATTGTGACATAAAATATTCTATACCTACATATATGTGTATGTACTATTTTAGTAAAAGTCCGTCTGAATAAACCCCAAAAGACTGGTTGTTAGCGGTGGTAATTGTACGAGTTAACACCAGGTGGTGCTAGCAGGACCCCTAAAACAGTGTCCCATTTCATACAATAGCCTACATGTGTTTATTGATCATTTTAATGCTTGTCAGGGCTAGTGTCACTGGAGAGCAATTACACTACCACTGTCATATGAGCTGAATGTTTTGATTAGTTCAAGTAAAATTAGTTCATAATAAAGAACCTTGGTATATTTAAAAAAATGAAACCACTACAGTCAGTGTGCAATCAGTCAGCAAGACAAATAATGCAACAAAAAGAAAAACAATCTGCCTCCCAACAGAATAAGAACATTCATTTTAGTAAATGTTAATGAGAATAAAACTATATTTGATTTTATATTTTCTTTGTCAAAGCTTGTTTATATGATCTAAAACAGCACCTTTCTAACATGATATGACGTGCTTGTCACTATTTCATAGTTTCATAACATCTGGATTTCACACCTGGAATAAAGCAAGGTGGCGTGCCTAAGTGGTGTAAATAATTAATGACAATGTCTTGCTAACAGATCCCTGGAGGTGTGTCTGAATTTAATATGTTACTTAAATGCTATTTGTCATTAGGTTATCAGAATCTGCAGAGTATTAACACATTTTTTTTTCTACGGTGAAACCTTCCAATGCGTCACTAACTGATTTACTTCATTTTGATAGATTATGTAACCCATGTTTGCCTCTAATGTAATATATAACATGCCTGTATGTAATATAGGCAGTTTGCATCTAATATAGACTATATGGACAAAAGTATTAGGACACCTGACCAACAGAAACTTCAATGACATTGCATTCTAAATACATGGACATTAATATGGTGTTGGTCCCCCCTTTGCAACCATAATAGCTTCCACTTTTCTGGGAAGGATTTCTGAAGGATTTTGGAGTGTTTCTGTGGGAATTTTTGCTCAGTCATCCAGTAAAGCATTTGTGAGGTCAGGCACTGATGTTGGAAGAGAAGGCTTGGCTTGCAATATCCGCTCCTGTTCATCCAAATGGTGTTCGATGGGGTTGAGGTCAATGCTCTGTGCGGGCCAGTCAAGTTCTACCACACCAAGCTCATATGACTGTTTTTATGGACCTCGCTTTGTGCATTGGGGCACAGTCATGCTGGAATAGAAAACCTTCCCCAAACTGTTCCCACAAAGATGGAAGCATAGCATTGTCCAAAATGTCTTGGTATGCTGAAGCATTAAAGGGATAGTTCACCCCAAAATTAAAATTCTGTAATTAATTACTCACTCTCATGTCATTCCAAACTCGTAAGACCTTCAGAACATAAATTAAGATATTTTTGATGAAATCCGAGAGCTTTCTGACCCTGTATAGACAGCAACGCAACTGAAACATTTAAGGCCCAGAAAGGTAGTAAGGACATTATTAAAATAGTCCATGTGACATCAGTGGTTCAACTGTAATGTTATGAAGCTACGAGAATACATTTTTGTGCACAAAGAAAAAAAAAAAAGACTTTATTTAACAATTTCTTCTCTTCTGGGTCAGTCTCCACCACCATTAAGAGTGCCACGACAAAGGTTTATCCTAATACTTTTGTCTATATACAGTGGGTACGGAAAATATTCAGACCCCCTTCAATTTTTCACTCTTTGTTATATTGCAGCCATTTGCTAAAATCATTTAAGTTAATTTTTTTTCCTCATTAATGTACACACAGCACCCCATATTGACAGAAAAACACAGAATCGTTGACATTTTTGCAGATTTATTAAAAAAGAAAAACTGAAATATCACATGGTCCTAAGTATTCAGACCCTTTGCTCAGTATTTAGTAGAAGCACCCTTTTGATCTAATACAGCCATGAGTCTTTTTGGGAAAGATGCAACAAGTTTTTCACACCTGGATTTGGGGATCCTCTGCCATTCCTCCTTGCAGATCCTCTCCAGTTCTGTCAGGTTGGATGGTAAACGTTGGTGGACAGCCATTTTTAGGCCTCTCCAGAGATGCTCAATTGGGTTTAAGTCAGGGCTCTGGCTGGGCCATTCAAGAACAGGAGTTGTTATGAAGCCACTCTGATTTTAGCAAATGGCTGCAATATAACAAAGAGTGAAAAATTGAAGGGGGTCTGAATACTTTCCGTACCCACTGTATTATATAGCTTAAAGGTGTAAAGCTTTTTGCTAATTTGTGAGCAAATGACATTCGGTACTGTTATGTGTGTGTTGAATGGGAGCTGTGACTAACAATTCCTTAGGGAAGATGGTCCCCATTGACATTTAAAAATACTCCTTACATGGAATCGGTTATTCCGTTCAAAGACTTTGGAGTCGTAATGTGCGTGTACTTATGGTATTGTTTATAGAAACTAGTACAGCTCTATATTTACATGACAGCTCGGTTTGGCACAAATCTCTTTCCTGACAACACCGACTGTTAGTTGCATGCCTGCACATTGAGTTTGAGCTAAAAGCTCAGTGATGTGAGGATAACTCACATTAGAAGTGACCCGAACCTCTTTTGCACAGATATTCTGTCGGCCTATTATGCTATTAAGTGCCGACTGTAAGATCTGCATTACAAGTACACAATACAATCCACTGGAAACAATTTTCAGAGGCTTGATTAGGTAAAATGTATAATGTAGTGAAAATAACAGGCCTTTGTCCTCATCAAAATGGCAGATGGGTCCTGTTAGTCTCACAAATGTGGTGTTCTGCTGCCAGAAAAGACCCAAATGACTCATGTTCAGATTATAGCATTACAGTGCTTGCACCAACTGGCAGAACTAGAAAGAAACGGGGCCATCCTTTATGTCTCCTAGCCTAGAATGGAACTCTTCCACGGGATGTTGACCACGGTAAAATATACAGTATTATGGGATTTGTGGCCTCATTTAGCCTTGTAACAAGATTGTTTATAAAATATGTGGCGTTTAGGTTGCATTTTCCAACTAGACATGTTTACAGTTGGCATTAATTTGCCTTTGCTAATGGCTTCCAAACAGCTATTTATTGAAAAGTGATGCACATGCAGTACATTCAGATTTTGTACTGGTTAACTTAAAGGGATGGTTCACTCAAAAATGAAAATTTTGTCATCATTTACTGACCCTCATGTTGTTCCAAATCAGTTTGACTTTCTTTCTTTTTTCTATGGATTACAAAAGAAGATATTTTGAAGAATGTTTGAACAGTTTTAGAGAATGGTACACTCTAAAAAATGCTGGGTTAAATATAACCCAGCATTTTTTAGAGTGTATGTTTCAGTTATATGACAGATGCGGTTGGAGTTATTCAGGTGAATAGAAGGTATGCCGAAAGCTAGGAAAAGCTGTCAGTCACTTCACAGCTCGTGAATTCTAATTTTCTAAGGATGTAAACAAAATGAATCAACCAGCTGTCCCATGCATAGCATCCAAGAGGTTTAGCCCTACGCAAAGTATATGATATTTTATATGTGTATATGTGTATGTATATATATATATATATATATATGTATAATGACTAAATAAATAAATATAAAATAAATAATTTGTTCTGCAGATTTATTTATTTACTTATTTTGATTGCTTCATGACTAAACATATGTTGAACACGTTCTGTCAGACAACAAAGAAGCACAATAAACCCAGAACATGAAAAAGGATGTTAATTGTGAAACAACACTAGTTTAGCCTCATGTGATGATGAGAAGTTGGTTGAGACTGGTAGAAGTCTCTACAGTAAGTCCGAAAAGATAGACATCCTCTACCCTGACTCCCCCTCAATAGACTGCATCCTACCAATATCACATCCTAGATCCACTGCCTGCTAAATGGCAAGATGGAGAGATGAAGGGGAAAAAGAGGAAGGGAGGGGGAGTGTGTGTTTGTGTGTGTGATGCGAGCAGAGGCACGAGAACTGATTGTTGCAGATGAGTAGATCGCTCTCCCTCTCTCCAGCGCTCCTCTCTCACACTCATTTTCCCATAGATACAAACACAGTGGCTCTGTTAGAAGAGAGCGAGATGCTGGCAGACGATGCAGGAAAACACATAACATGCCTGTTGGATCGCTGCTGTTGGCTTTGAGAAGCATCAGGTGAGTGGAACTCCGTTTTGCACTTGTGTTTGTGTGAAAGAGGGAACTGTTCAATCCGTTACCAGTGACAACATGATGGAGCTCTTGACTGTATTTGCATTATGCTGTATTGCAGACCAGTGGTGACAGGGTTGAACAAACACTGCTGTATTTGATGTTTCGTATGCTTATGCTTATGCTCATGTAACACATAATGTGTCAGTTTGTGAGCTTAAGTTGTGGGTATTTTAACAGTGAGCTGTGAGTAAAAGCCATTTTGAATGTGGGTTAAGGTCAAGACGAGGCCAAGATCATCCATTTTTCGTAGCCTTGAGGTAACGCTGAGAAGAGTTTGTTTTGGGTTCTTGACATGGCAAGCACTTTTATTCATAAATACAGATTATCTTTCAGAAAAGACACTTGCCTCAGGCACTTCCTGCTCTTGTCGCAGGAAGTTCAAAGGCTTGACAGGATGTGGAATTGAGTTGCAGAGTTTTCCTTAAGTAGTGAGCATTGTAGAATACTTCAGAAATGGATGAGTTCATAAGCTCATTTTATTTCAGATTCTTCCTTTCGGTGACAATCATCATTTTTTATGAAAATGTATGAATGTTTTGGCACAGTAGGCCTAATCATAACTGCAATATTTGTTGCAAAATCAGGTGAAACTGGTCAGATCAGTCAGATATGGTTTCTTTAAAAAAAAATTGCTAGCTTTAATTTAGAAACTATAAATATAAGGGTTGTGTGATATATTAGTACCATATTGGTTATCGGCTAATATTAGAGTTTTTTAATGTCTCAGCATCAATCGATATTGGATTTTTAATTGTACAATATTGTTTGCTGTATTTTTACATCTAGATTGTCTTTGCCATCATCTAACTCTTTGTTAATTTTAAAGTTAATCATTATGATCAGTAATAACTTATTAAATGCAGACTTTAGCAAATTTTTAAATGAATTTTCATTTTTCAAACTCTACATTATAATATCTAAATCCACATATAAAATGGTTGTTTTTACTTTTTTAGAGTTTTATTTTAATTTTATTTATACAAAATAGTATTGAATTTTAATATTGGCCATTTATCAGTTATTGGCTGTAATATGAAAATAATTATCAGTTTATCGGTGCATAACTGCAACTGTATACTTGCTCTCCTAATAGATTATTAATTTGGAATCTACATTGCCTCCACAAAATACCAGTTATTAATTTCACTCATATCTCACTCATAACTTGGTATTTTCTTTTATTCTATATTATCTTGAATAACTCAAAAATATCTGGATGTTAAGCTAAAAATGTGGCTGATACTGTAGTTGGAGTTTTTATTTATTTTTATTTTTTATGTACACTACCATTCAAAAATTTAGGGTTAGTACGTTTTTTTAATTAATACATTTATTCAGTAAGGACACATTTCATCAAATAATCCTGTTAAAAAATGATCAGTTTTCAACATTGATCATATTTTCACCAGATTTTCACATAACACCAAATCAGCATGTTAGCATACTGTATTAAAATGATTTCTGAAGGATCATGTGACACTGAAGACTGGAGTAATGACTGCTGAAAATTCAGCTTTACCATCAATAAATTACATTTTAAAATATTAAAAAATATTAACGTAGAAACCCTATTTTAAACAGTAAACATATGACACAATATTACTGTTGTTGCTGTATGTTTGATGAAATAAATGCAGCCTTGGTGGGCATAAGAGACAATTTTTTTTGTTTCAAAAGAATTAATAAAATTTTTTTTTCTGATTCTAAACTTTTGAATGGTGGTGTTCTCATACTTTGAGGACCCAGTCATGCTTTGTACAGTACAAAGCAGGGCATCACATCAATCAGTGCCAGTCACTGAGGTCAAGTCTAACGTTAACTTCAGTATTGACTGGCATGATGTTGCACATTCAAATATTTGATGGCATGTGACACAGATAGCTACTTTTCTTGTTGTTCTGTAATAACCGAAACTAAGTACAGAATCACAAAAACACGGCTTTACACATATACTGTACATGAATGAGAAATAAAGCTAGACTATATCACACAAGATGAGTTTTGTCAAATGTACAAGGTGATTGACAGTTTTTTCATTCTCTCCACAGAGGTTGAGCTGCTGGATCTTATGTATGTAAACAGAGGCAGATAAACACTGGACAGCATGTCGAATGAGGAAAAGTGGGTCACTTTGAGTCCAAATGAATTCTCTCTTCTTCAAGACTATGCACAATGTAAGGCTTTTATTCTGTAATTCTTCCGTATTTGCCCAATATTTGTTTATCAATCCATAAATTATGGTTCAATTCAGTTATATGTTTCCTGAGATGGAAGTGCCAAATAATACCGTATCAAATCATGGTTTATTCGATCCATAGAGCATCTTCCAGCCACTAAATATCCTTGCGGAGACATGCTGACATGTTGCCATTTCACTGGAATAAAAATCGAACCATTTAACAGCATTTGTGCGTGTGTCACTTAAGGAAATGTCATTTCCTGTCTGGAGTTTAAGGTTAAGACTTCGATCTAATCCAATCGGCACCAGACTATGAGGGGAGAGAAAATTCTGACTGACAGTTATTAATTCCCCTAAATACATAATCAATCCATGATGAACGTTGATTCCTTTGAGTGCTAATGCTGCAGTGGGAGTCAGTCTGAATGAAGTGTCATCTATAATCTCTTTTTTGAGGAAACGGTTAGAAAAGCCCAGTGTTTGCTGTCAAAGTAGACCATCTTTTACATTTACCATTAAGATAAAAAGATACAATTTTTATTTTATCAATAATCTGCTTGACATAATAATAATAAAGGATTCGATTACACACCAATTCAAAAACCAACCACATAAAAATGAAGATACAGATTTGTGCCGTTTTGATTACCCTAAATGCCGCATTCATACATAACAAATCAGCTGTCAACGAGAGGATCTTTCATTACGTATGTAGAGAACAGAGATTGTCTGCATTTAATTGAGTAATCTGAATAATTGATACCCCCAGAGCCCGCTGTTTCCTGTGCCAGGCCAGTGCTTCTCTCGTTCTGATTGGCTAGCATGCAGTATGACAATATGGGTCATTAGTGAAGAGGAAGGAGGGAGAGGAAAAAATCTCACAGTTTGAAAGTTTTGAGCTCTAATATCATTAGACTCCTGATAGAGATTATATGGTCTACTGAAAGATACACTCTGGTAAATCTGTGCAGAGGGACAACATGTGCAGCTAAAACAAAACTTAATGGCATAGTAATTTGTTTTTCAAAATCTGTCTTTTAAATAATTCTCATGGCCATTGACGAATAAGGACTTGAGCGATTATGAAATTGGGACAAACATGTTTCATCAATGTATCACAAAGATTACATTTGAGAACTTTAAAAGATTTTTTCCTTTTCCCTCAAAAAGAAAAAAAAAATGATTTGATTAATAAAATAAAATAGCAATTTAATTAAATAATTTCAAATATTAAGCAGCACTGTTTTCAACATTGATATGATTCTTGAGCACCAAATCATATTAGAATGGTTTCTGAAGAATCATGTGACACTGAAGACTAGATATTAATATATTAAAACAGACAAGAAGTTAATATTTCAATATATTGCTGTTTTTACTATATTTTAATCAAATAGCCTTGGTACTTTTCGTACTTTTAACAGTAATGTAACCTTGCCATGTCCAAAAAAATATCAAAATATCTTAATACTTTTCACAAAAAAAACATGAATAGGAATATAGAAGTTCAAAACATGTTCATCTTAAAAATGCAGGTTATTATCTGTCTAATATGCATTTTTAATGTTTTTTTTTTTTCACAACATCAACACATCATTGACCATTAAATGTCTGAGCTAGATCTATTTAAGTTTCTTAAGCTGTCTCAACTATTACAGTATCTTCCTTTTGTTTTACCCATTTGTTGCAGACACAACTAAGAAACTAAAAGATGTTCTCCAGGAGTTTCATGGAGATGGGATTCTGGCCAAGTATAATCCTGAAGAGGTATCGCAACTCTTTATGGCCTTTTGAAGCACACTATTTTGCAATGTTCATGCTGAGCTAAGAATGCTGTACTGGACCGAATGTTATGATGATGATCTAATTTCAGTGGTTATTAGAGCCATTAAACTATATGATGTTTCTTTTGGGTGATGAAATCATTTCAGTTTCCATAATTGCTTGCCATCCATTTACTGAAGATGCTTTTACTTGTCGTTTTGTGCTGCATAGAAGCCAGAAATCCTCAATCAGGTAAATTGTCATTTTATGGTTTTACAGCCTGGCTGCACAGTTATTTGGTCAGTATGAAATATTAACTGAGTAACAGGGTGAATCACCTTCAGCAGGAAATTGACTTCGAGGGTTTCCAGCTCTTCATGGAGACCTTCCTGGAGAGTGAACTTGCTGATGAGTTCTGCCAGCATCTCTTCCTCAGTTTCTGCAACAAAGACCCCAAGCCAAGCCCCTCCATGACAGACAAGCAGAGAATCATGGGTAATTTAAATCTGCCCATTCATACAGGCTGAACAAACTTACTGTAACAAATATACTGTAATATCTAATCAAGAAACCACTACTAAACTACTTTAGTGTAGAGAAAACATTTGTAAAGTCAGTTTACACTACAATTAAAACGTTGTTTTTTTTAAAGAATATAATACTTTTATTCAGAAAATATGCATAAGTGACAGTAAAGACATTTATAATGCTACAAAAGATTTTGATTTAAAATAAATGCTATTATTTGGAATTTCTGTTCATCAGAGAACCCTGAAAAAATGTATCAGTCCACAAAAAATATTAAATGTTTGATGATAATCAGGATATTCGAGTGATTTCTGTAGGATCATGTGATGATACTGAAGACTGGGGTAATGGCTGTTGAAAATTAAGCTTAGCTATAAATTACATTTTAAAATAGATTTTACATTGTAATAACATTTCACAATAGTACTGTTTTAATGTGTTTTTGCAGCCCTGTTGAGCATCTTTCTCCAAAAGCATTAAAAAAATCGTACTGAAGCTGGTAGTGTACAGTGTGTACCAGTAATGTTGGCCACATATAATCACACAAAGCAAATATATTCTGTTTATTCCTGTTATTCGGTTTTAATTGTATAACTTTGTCATAAAAACAATAAACTTGCAGCATTATTTCCCAAAGCTCCACCAGGGAAACAGCTAGTGTAACAATAGAGTGATTAAATCTCTTAATTTTTTCCCAGTGATTTCTAGCCAAAACACACCACAAAAAGTGACGTGTTAAACATAATTTACTTGTGGTTTACAAGGTCTAAAACTCATAAAGGGAAGCTCCACGCCGCCAAAGGTATCATCCGCATCCAAAGCTCTCGGTTCAGTCCAGTTGAAGGATATGATCTGCTACCTCTCTCTGCTGGAGGGCGGACGACCAGAAGACAAACTAGAATGTAAGATCACTTACTATGCAGTACCTTTCCTACTAATTTACTAGCTTTATTCAAAATACCTCACAGTACACTTACGAGTCCTTTATGGTGTTGAAGAAGCTAACTTTTGTTTCCATTAATGGTTTTCATAGAGAAAACACGAGGCGGTGCTGCCATCTACTGGCAGCTTTTGTCAAATCTATAATGGTTTTCTGATTGTAATTCCAGGAAACCTGTTGCTATGGGCTGCTCTGATGCTAATAACCTCTTGCTAAGGTCTAATACTGCCTCTGAGATGCTATTATGCAAGAAAGAACAAACTGTTTGAATGAAAAACATCAGTGATGGGCTAGTTCAGATTGAATTGCACTGAGCTTGATTGAATTGTCTTCTTGAGGGATGCTGCCATTGGCTGATCTGCTGGTTTCCATGGCGACGCCCATTTATAATGCCTCATAGAAAAGCTGAGATTGCACTCTGAATTGTGAGATTCTTTCCATAGATATGTTTTTTTTTTTTTTTTTTGAGAATACAGAGCCATTTTCCTATCAGGTTACCCTTTTAGATGCAGAAATTATCCTTGTATTGAATCTGCAGTGTTTTCTCTTTTTCATCCTTTCTTTATCTTTCTTTGTTTCTGTCGCAGTTATGTTTCGACTTTATGACACAGATGGGAACGGGGTTTTAGACAGTAAGGTGAGACCTTCATCTTAATTTCCAGCAGTCTCTTCGGTTTATTATTGTTGTAATAACTTCAAACGCCTTCTAGTGGTTCATTGCTGGATTGGTTGCATTTACTAATTTCGCTCTTCTCTGTTACAGTAAGTTTGTTTAAAAGACTTGTCTGTAATTTTTAGTTTTATAGATGCTTTTCATAAAAAAAGAGATAAAAAGGACAGACTCATGATGAGATTTCTCAAGATAAACAAAATTATAATAAAAAATGTATATACTGATTTGGTGTAAAAAATTAGGTAGAAATTGCTAGTAAATTTCACAGAAATTTCTAGAAACTTTACAAAGAATTGCAAGTTAAATTGGCAAGTAACACACTGAACTGAGCATGACATTTTGAAGTAGATGAATTACTTATATGTAATTCTATATAAAGTATAAAATAAATATAAACAAGTGTTTTACTGTAAAATGTTCTCCAGTAATCTTTTTTATCATTATATAATATATGCTCATAGCACACACAGACACATTTATATGTGTGTATTTAAATGTTTTTAAATACATTTATACGCGTTTATATGTGTATATGTTACAAGTAGAAGAAATAAATAATCTGTAACTTGATTACCTCGATTACCTGTTTCAGGTGTTTTGACTGAGATGGAAGTAAACTTTTTACAAGAAGGTAGATGTAGCAGGATTCAGGATCCCACCACTAGATCTTTGTGCAGAGTTACAGTGATGTTGTGCAGAAAATGTCTTCTCCTCTCGAACAGGAACTGGAGCACATTATCTCTCAGATGATGCATGTTGCAGAGTATCTGGAGTGGGACGTCACAGAACTGAAGCCGGTAAAATAAACTTGAATTTGACCGTGGCCAGACAGTGTGTGTGTGCCAAATTTGATCATATTTTTCTAATAATTAACATGTCTAACATCATTGGTTTTGGGGTGTAGATTCTGGAGGAGATGATGCAGGAGATCGACTATGACCGTGACGGGATGGTTTCTCTTGAAGAGTGGGTCCAGGGTGGTCTGACCACCATTCCTCTGCTAGTACTTCTAGGACTTGAAACTGTGATTATCAATTAAGCTTAACTTATCTATATATGTTTGTCCAATGTGTTCATTTTTCAATCTTGTCCATCTGTCTGTCCATCTAAACATTCATCCAAACCAAACGAACAGATACAGTGCATCATTGTTGATAAATTGAGATGTTACTCTCTATTTGCCCACTAGATGGAGTCCTCGACTAATTTTAAATGCCTTTTTGGCTGCACTAGTGGTCTGGTGCCTGATTTATTTTGCATGTCATCCAGATTGTTAAAGATGCAGATTCGACATTTTTCAAAACATATTCCTTTCCTTTCAAGTTCTGCATTGTCTCAGCAGGATTCCAGAATACCCTTTATGTAATTTGCTGTAATGTTTTTCATCACAGTTGTCATAGTTGTATTATCCTTGTCAAGTCCTCATAGCTGGCTTCCTCTCATTCCCTCGCTATTATCTTTGTCTTTTTCACTCTCTCTGTTTTGCAGAATGTAAAGGATGACGGGCAACACGTGTGGAGACTTAAGCACTTCAGTAAACCTGCATATTGTAACCTGTGTCTGAATATGTTGATTGGATTGGGAAAGCAAGGCCTCTGCTGCTCCTGTAAGTCCAGCACCAGAACTCACAGCATTTATTATATTAACCATCAGTCACTTCTGTTCACATATGATTGTTTGCTTTATGCTATAAGTGAATATGGACAAATGCAAATCAAAACCATCTAATCAATTTCATTTGGAATAGAAGTAAGCTAATGTATTAAATATATCATCTTCAAACAGTGACATTGTTGCATGGTTGCAAAGTCACAATAAGACACATTTCAATGTTTGTTTTTTATTTTATTATTATACATTTTTTTATTTTATTATTGTTTTTTAAGCTAAAAATTAATGTATTAATACATCTGCAATCAAATTCATTGACATTAAAAACCAATTGTAGACATTGTAATAATAATACCTTTAATGAAAATGCATGTTAAAGTCTTAAAAATGATAAAAATTGATACCAAAACAAACGATCAAAACATTTTTACTTTACACTGTGAATTAATTTTCTGTGTGTCTGTTTTATAGTCTGTAAGTACACCGTTCACGAGAGATGTGTGGCTCGAGCCCCGCTGTCCTGCATCAAAACATACGTCAAATCTAAGAAAAACACAGAGGTGCGTCGAATTGTAGTGTTTAAAAACCAGCACGCTTGGATCACCAATGCTTCATGGGGCTTAGAGCAAGGGCTTCTTTTCAGCTAATGAAATTAGAAAGAAATTCTCTCTCTAAGCATTGCTAATTACATGATTAACCTGGTTTAAACAGAGACCTGAATACACCAATGATGAGTCGTTATAAAAGCCTATGCTCATTTGCGATATGCCTGTATATTCTTTCTTCCTCTCTCTCTCTTTCTCTATATATGCATTTATTTGCATTATTGCATATTAACAAAAGCTTTTTTTAATAGATTATGCATCATTTCTGGGTTGAGGGAAACTGTCCAAGCAAGTGCGATAAGTGTCACAAAACTATCAAGTGTTACCAGGGTCTTACGGGCCTTCACTGTGTCTGGTGCCAGATTACTGTGAGTTTATGAGTATTCATAATTATTACAGTTTTTATGCTCCGAACATATAACCATGTGTGAATATTGGGGTATATGCATTTAATCCAATTATTAATAATAAAAGGTATTAGTTTGCCACAAGTACACTGCAGTTTGCACACAATTTAATTTAGTAGGTGTTCATTTACATTTGTAATAAATTTATTTGCATGACATCAGTCTGTATGTAAATAATATTGGTGAATTATCTGTTTTGTTTTAAAGTTTTAAAGCTCTGTCTTGCAGCTACACAACAAGTGCGCTTCACACGTCAAACCCGAATGTGACTGCGGATCACTGAGAGATCACATACTTCCTCCAAACACAATATGCCCTGTTGTACTGGTAATATGTCATATTTATTTTTGTACGTTATTTTGGGACTCAGCTCTTTTAGATCTTTACATGTGACCTTTAACTGCAGGAGAGACAGTCCACTCTGAGAAAAGACTCCAGCCAATCAGGAGGCCGGGGGAAAATACAAAGGACCGATTCAGTATCAGTGGATGGACAGGGGCTACAGGTGAATGACACACACTAATAGTCGGATATTGCTAAAAACAGGAAGTCCCAGGGGTACATTTCCTGCAGATGGAATCAAACAAAATAACACAGTGCTTTAGTGAATCTAATAGCCCCTAATGCTATCAGGCAAAATACATGATTGATATGAAATACATCTGGGAAGTTGACTTAGCTATTTTTATGTTTTTCATGCATGCATCTTTTATGATCATCTCATATAAATTAGGGACAGTATGGAATATGTGGTCTTTTAGAATTTCTTCATACACCATTTAAATTAACTAGTGTAGACAAAAAGGTGATTTAAAATTACATTTTAACTAGAGATGCACTGATATAAATTTTTGGTCACACTTTATTTTAAGGTCCAGTTCTCTCTATTAACAAACATTTAACTACAACCTCAATAAACTCCTAATTTGCTGCTTATTAATAATTAATAAGGTAGTTGTTACATTTAGGTTCTGAGTAGGATTAGGGATGTAGAATTTGGTCATGCAGAATTTATTAGCACTTACTTTATACAGTACTACTAATAAACAGTCAATATGTTAATAATAGGCATGCTATTTATTCGATGTATTTATCTATGTATTATGCGTTATTAATTATTTGTAATTATTTAATAAGGTTGATGTCCTACTGTATAAAAGCTTATATTTAAATTCTGCATTTTTGTCTAAATAAATCAGTTTTAAAAAATAATGAAAAACACAAAAATGCATTAATAAAAAATAAACACTAACAACTAAAATAATTGTTTTAAATGCTACAAGTGAATCTAGGCATTACAACATTATGATATACAGTATAAAACATCTTTTCTAATAATCACATTTAACAGTATATCCAGTATTGACTGAAACAAATATAAAGTTTAAAATAACTGATATAATATGATATAATCTGCATTGTTCATTCCTAATTAATCTAAAATATAAGTATACAAATAAAAAATCTATTAACATAATGTTAACGATTAACTTCCTGGTGAGTCATCAACTAAGTTTTGCTCAAAATTACAATTGTATCTCAAGATCACACTTCTAGGCAGCAGTGACCCTCTGTGATTGGGTGTTGTCTGAGCATAGTAATGACAGAACGAAAAAAGACGAATCATGTCCTGGGTCATCCATCTTGGCTGGCGGCGGCTAACCAGTGTAATAATCAGGATTATTATTTATAATTAGAGGAAGTAATGGATCACTCGTCACCGGACGGGCAGCTCATTAATTCACCTGGGCCTGCTGGGATTGTTTCGATGGGTCCTGTTTTAAGCGCTTCATCTGTGTCACTGTCCACCGGAAGACGATTCACACTCTGGATTAGTTTGTGCGTGCGTCGTCCGCTCTAAAACCCCACAATCATCATGCATCCATGCAGAAAAGTGACTCATGGTCAAAGACTGTCATTAATGACTAAATATGGAGCTGATTACTGAGGTTTGCCTGTTGCGTCTCATGACGTGGGTTTTACATGGGTAGTGCATCATAGACTTTTTGTACTGAAGAGTTATTCTGAGATCTTTTTGAGCAGATCAGACTCGATTAACGTCAATGTGATGCTAAATTCTGTTTTATAATTATGAGAGAATTGAGAGAGAATTATCACATTGCTGACTGAAAGTTAAGGTTCAGGTGGTGAAGAAAATCTTAAAGGGGTCATATGATGTTGCTAAAAAGAACATTATTTGGTGTAATGAAATGTGTTTATGCGGTTTAAAGTTCAAAAAACGCTTATTATTTTCCACATACTGTACATTATTGTTTCTCGTCGATTTTTACAAAGCTCATCGGTCTGAAAAGCGAGGTGTGCTGTGATTGGCCAGCTATCCAGTGCGTTGTGATTGGCCGAATACCTCTTACGCCCCTACCATACTGTGATGCCCTGGAGCGACGATTCAAATACATTAAAACCCATTATAAACGAGGCATTTGTTGCATCCAGAGGGGACATAATTACGGATTGTAATGACTTTATAACCACATGTGACGATACATGTGAAGTGGATAACTCCGCTTCGTCCACGGTGAAAGCCGATCCGGCGATCCACAGCGCGAAGTTTATGTATTTCCTCAGCGACCAGCACGGATCAGCTCCAGGCATGACGAAGCGGATATCGTCCTCTTTTGGAAGGCCAAACAAAGTAGTTTCGCTTTCACAATGAAGCACACGGCGCCTTCACGACATGGCGGCAGCAACAATACTACAGCGAGAATAAAAGTTATGCCTTCTTTCTTTGCGTGAACATTTGGGCGGCGTTATGCAAATCTTCCCAGATAGTGACGTAAGTATGTGGGGGCTTGTTAGACCGAGCCGTTTTAGGTAGGCGTGGTTGACTCTTAAATTTTATAAAGAATATCTCTTTGGATTTGAGACTTTAGTCTTTGCAACTTTACAGATCTTCTTTATGCACCAAGAGCTTGTAACACTCCAAAGAGAAAGGAAAAATTTAAATCGCATCATTTTAAGAAAATTAACTGTCGAAGAATTAAAAATTTTGCGTATTTTCTGAGATGCATGTCATTACTAAATGTAAATTTGTGAATTTAAGGATGTTTTCTGCTCTAAACACTCTGCTGGTCAGTAAAATTTGGATAATGAAGCATAAAAGCTGATTTAAATGCTAAATGTTACTAGATTAGGATATATATAATAATGCTTTTTATCATTTTAATCTATAGATTACGCCATTAGAAGGAACTCATCCGTTGTTGGTTTTCGTCAACCCTAAAAGTGGAGGCAAACAAGGGGAAAGGTGAGAACTGTGAAGATGGTGTCAGATTTTAATAAGAAAGTTACACTTCAGTATTTTCATATAGCATTTTAACTGTCTTTCAGTCAATCTGCATAATTTATCCATCGCTACAGTTTGTTTGACACCAGTGCATACCAGTTGCAGTCAAATTAGCAATGCACTGAATGTGTTCGAGGTTGTTGATGAAACTTCTCTGAGTTACAATTACAGTTTCACATCCATTTCTGGCAACCTAAATGAGGATCTAATCAAATCAGTTGCAATTTTAAATCCATTTTTGGCATCCTAAAGATCCATATCAGATTTCAGTTCCTCTTGATGGACAATATTGGATGAGATGGCCATGATCACCAGTATTTCTTGAATAGCTAATGTCTTGTAATAGCTAATATTAATGACAAAATCCTTAGTTTTGTAGCGAATCAGCTCATGGGGAAATATGAATAATTAATCATAACTAGTTTTAATT